ATTAGTGTGAGAGATTGAGTCAGAAGGATCACACTGTCGGAATTAGTGTGAGAGATTGAGCAAGGATGATCAAACTGTCGTCATTAATTTGAGAGATTGAGTCAAACAGATGATCACAGTGTCGTCATTAGTGTGAGAGATTAGGGAAGTCGGATCACACTGTCGGCATTAGTGTGAGAGATTGAGCAAGGATGATCACACTGTCGTCATTAATGTGAGAGATTGAGTCAAACAGATGATCATAGTGTCGTCATAAGTATGAGAGATTGAGTCAGAAGGATCACACTGTCGGCATTAGTGTGAGAGAGATTGAGTCAGAATGATCACACTGTCGGCATTAGTGTGATAGAGATTGAGTCAGAAGGATCACACTGTCTTCATTAGTGTGAGAGAGATTGAGCCAGAAGGATCACATTGTCGTCATTAGTGTGAGAGATTAGGTAAGTCGGATCACACTGTCGGCATTAGTGTGATAGAGATTGAGTCAGAAGGATCACGTTGAACTGTCGTCATTAGTGTGAGAGATTGAGTAAGGAGGATTACACTGTCGTCATTAGTGTGAGAGAGATTGAGTCAGAAGGATCATACTGTCGTCATTAGTGTGAGAGATTGAGTCAGAAGGAGCACACTGTCGTCATTAGTGTGAGAGATTGAGTAAGGAGGATCACACTGTCGTCATTAGTGTGAGAGATTGAGTCAGAAGGATCACATTGTCGTCATTAGTGTGAGAGAGATTGAGCCAGAAGGATCACACTGTCGTCATTAGTGAGAGAGATTGAGTAATAATAATTTCTCTTCCATCATTTGAATGGTTGAGGAAGAAAGAAACAAGGTAGGGGTTTGCAAACGCATCATTGGTGTAAATGGTTGATTAATGAGGATTCCACTGCTAATATTTGTGTCACAGAGGAAGGACGATGACGAGGGTTGGATTTGGATTATACCTTACCTTCATTTGTGTGAGAGATTGAGTCAGAAGGATCACATTGTCGTCATTAGTGTGAGAGATTAGGTAAGTCGGATCACACTGTCGGCATTAGTGTGAGAGATTGAGCAAGGAGGATCACACTGTCGTCATGAGTGTGAGAGATTGAGTCAAACAGATGATCACAGTGTCGTCATTAGTGTGAGAGATTGAGTAAGGAGGATCACACTGTCGTCATTAGTGTGAGAGATTGAGTCAGAAGGATCATATTGTCGTCATTAGTGTGAGAGAGATTGAGTCAGAAGGATCACACTGTCGGCATTAGTGTGAGAGATTGAGCCAGAAGGATCACATTGTCGTCATTAGTGTGAGAGAGATTGAGCCAGAAGGATCACACTGTCGTCATTAGTGAGAGAGATTGAGTAATAATAATTTCTCTTCCATCATTTGAATGGTTGAGGAAGAAAGAAACAAGGTAGGGGTTTGCAAACGCATCATTGGTGTAAGTGGTTGATTAATGAGGATTCCACTGCTAATATTTGTGTCACAGAGGAAGGACGATGACGGGGTTGGATTTGGATTATACCTTACCTTCATTTGTGACGGAACTCTACCATCTGATGTAACGGAATGGATAGAATATGACAACACATGTGTTTGCGACAAGGTAGGAAAGGCCAGGATGATGACACCGTCAACATCTGTCACTTGGTGCAAGAAATCACCGCCGTCATTTATCGTAGGACAAGTTTGACTGACGCACGGCGTCATATGATAGTGTAATATTGACAATTATTTGAATCAGCACTGACGTGACACGGTCTGACAGGTGTGACAGCATCATCATGTGTATATTACAAATGTCAGGGGCTCACCTATATACGCCAAAATACTGGAATGCGGCCTCTAATCCGTGCGATCTCAACAGGATGTCATATGAACGTGCACTTTTTACCATAGGTCAGTGGAATATACTCCATGAAAACTTTGAAGGAATGAAAAGTCTAATCATAAACTATTATCTAAAAAACATGTAATATGTCCGAACGTTGAACGACAGACGTGAAAATTGTGTTTGTGTACATTAAAAGATAATGACGTAACTTTATAGAAACTTTAGACGAATGCCCTCTTGAGTTTGGCGCCCCTTTAACAATGTATAACCTAATGCGCATGCGCGCTGTGTACCTTAATGTGCAGTTTCTATGGCTATGTATCGCCATGTGATGAATGGTTGGTGGATTTAAATGCACGTGCTGTGGATTCCAAACCAAATGAAATGGCAAGCCACAAAAACTTCAAGGGGCAGAACTTCCTTCTAAAACAAGACGTATGCGCGTGCAAGTTCCCGCATTATTCGGAATGCCTTTGTAGTGGCTGAGAGTTGCTGCTGCTGACAGCTAACTCGATTGGTTAGAAGGTGACTTATTACGGCTCTACCTGCCGGCTCATTTTCGTGAGCGCGTGTGAACAGTCCGTTACCCCTTTTTATGCTAACATAACGGTATTAAAAGGCTTTCTCCGTTCTTTCAACTAGAGGAAAAAAGATAAGACGTTCCAACACATATTGGTAAATTAGAAAATTCCTTGTGTAAACTGTACCATAAACTAAAAAATAGGTATTAAGGCTTAAACTACTTTTAAATTGTTCACATGGACCTATGATTTTAGAGGGGAATATAATTATCTGTGGTGAGTGTACCGTTGGTTTACAACCCCTTAGCAAGGCCCACAGCCCACTATATCATCACTAAGTAGCATTATAAGTCATTCGTAATGTAACTTCACATTGTTCATCCACATACCAACCTGATGGCCACTTTATCACCTGTCCGAGCAAGGCACTTTGTGACGTTTACCAAAAAAAATGTAAGAAAATTCATATGAAACATAAGAGAGAGAAAAACATTTTTTTAGTAAAATATATCTGCGGAACATATATGCATATGGTGGATGGGGG